ATATATATAAAAAAAACAGACAAACAAACATACAGTAGAATCACCATACTGTATTGTGAGATAAGATGTATGAAACATTGGACTGTGTGCATTGTGACTGTGTGCAGGATTTTTTTTTTTCCACTTACTGTTTATTTAACTTCAAGTTTTCCTTTTTTTGTAAAAACAGATCCACACACGAAGAAAAAACCCTTCTTTAGTTATGCAGTGGGAAACAGTGTAGTTTTTGATTTTTTTTTGAGTCCCAATTTCTCTGCATTGAAGGAGTCGTCTTTCATTTTCATCTCTTTAAAAAACAAACCCACACACATACTTTAAGAATATATGTCATGTAATTTCAGGATCACTTTAAAATAATTTAACTTCTTTTAAATATGTGTTTTTAATCTAACTTTAAATTGAGGTTTTAGCAAATTCAATTTAAATTAATTCTCCTAAAAACAGAAGCTGTAGAGAGTGTGAAATGGTACATTTTGTAATATATAGCAATAATAGAAAAATACCCGAAAGATAAAGCATCACAAATTTGCATGTGAGACAGAATTTGCTATTTTGCCTTCCTGATTTGAAATCAAACTTCACAAATATCTTGTGTATGACTTATAAAGGACTTAGAAAGAAAATTAAAAGCCATTGATGCCGGCAGGCATAAACACACAGATCCAGATCCACCAAAAAAAACATTAGCTTTCCTGCTTTTGTAAAAGTATCTAAGGTAAAAGAAACTTTCATGGTCAAGGGCAACAAGACACAATGTTTACTACAGGAGTTACAGAGGACAGCTATTTCAGTTTGTTTGGTAAGTCAATGTTTGTTGTTACTGGAGATGTATAAAATGAAACATTGCTCATTTCAGGACAGTAAATATTCCCAGTTCGATCAACACCTCAAATAAACAATTCCTCCTGCCCTACATACAAACTTTAACATAGCACAATAAATGGCAAAACGGCGCCACAACTTATTCCCATAATTATCCATCCATAGTGCTTAATATCTGTAGTTAGAAAATAAAATGTTAAATGTATAACTGTCCAATTCAGTGATAATGATTGCAAAGAAATTATTTTGAGGAACTGAAACTTCTGAGTTGCTTCTTCTGTTTTTTTTCTTGTGAATGTTCCGTAAAGCTGAAACATATGTAAAAAAAAAAAAAAAAAAAAAAAAAAAGAGTACGTGGCGAAATGGTTACTTTACTTTTGCAGAGAGAAAGAAATAACAGGATAAATTGTTATTTTTCTTGTACAGAACATCTCAGTGCTCACTATCCAATGGTATTTCTTTCGGACATGTTTTTGTCTCAATAAATTTTTTGATGACTTTTTGATAACTTTTTTAAGGTTTTTTTTTTTTTTTTTTTTTTTGCTGCACACAATCCAGTACCATAAATCTGCAATGAATATACTCATCTTATGCCATTGGTCACAAAGGGACTTTACATAGTGAAAAAAAATGTATATATACTATCCTTCACTCACTCAAATACTTAACATAGGAAAGTTACCTGCAAACGCTCACAGAAGCACACACCTGCAAACTTGCCTCCACGCCCCTTTCTACACGACATCCAATCCCAAACTAAAATAACCGTTTTTAGGACTGTGAATGTGGACATCTTCATTGTAAGATTTGCTGAGGTTAAGACTTGCAAAATAAGATTTCAGTGACAAAGGGAAGAAAATTTAGAGACTACAAAAAAAGGGATAAAGAGAAAACAGAGAGGAAAACACAAAGAAGGAATTAGGAACAACAAAAAAGAGGACAGGAAGAAGTGTAAAATGGACTGAAAAATAAAAAAAGGCAAGCATAAAAGGTAAAGAAATAAAAACATTTAAAAAAGACAGGAAAAGGAAAAATAGAACGAAAATTAGAAAAAAGATGGTTACAGTAAAAGATTAAAGTAAAAAGGGCAGAAAAAGGGCAAAAAAAGGGGGCATTTTGGCAAAAGCATACTCATTTTGCCAAAATGTCTAAAATGTTGTTTTGTGTGTTTTTGTCAAGGTTGGGTTTGGTTTGGAGGACCCAAATGGAGAGGCAGAGAGGCTGAGGAGATTTCGAGGAGTTTTAATGTGCAAAAACAGTAATCAAAGGCAGGAATCCAAAAATCCAACTAATAATGAAAAGCAAACAGAACTAAGGAGACATCTGGGGAAACCAAACAC